GTCTGTTACTTTAGATGAAATTAAGAAGCCACTCCCCACGCCCCTCTGAGAGATATTTGGTTAAAAAGAACACAATGGTGCTCTAGGAGGAGATTCAGGTGATAAGGGGGGGTTACCTTGGTTGGTGATTGGCTAATGGTTACACAAGCCAACAAATCTGATCAGCTCATTTTCAGACTGGTTTTTATATAAATGGATCAGGACAAAAAGTGAGCAAATCTTTTTTCCTGAAACTTTCAGAATCTCTTTCCACAGAGGGGACACATGTTTATGTATAAAAGACATGAACAAGTGGATTTTGCATAACAGGTGACCTTTAATGAAGAGTTTTTAGGGTCTGTTAGTGATTTTCCGTATTGCTGCTCACAGCTCCCTTTACCTTGATGATGGATTTGGTTTTCTTTTTGATGCGTGGCAGCGTCTTTTCCACACTGGGTATATGCGGTAGCCTTTTCAACTCCCCCAGCACCGATGCTGCTGCCAACTTCTTGGCAATTTTTTTACTCTTTCCTTCACCCTCTCCAGTGAACTCCCCGACTGCAACGCGCACTATAAAACTCTTCATATGGGGGGGGCCGTCTTCTTTTAAAACCTGAAAAACAACAGTGACAAACTATGATGGAGAGGAGCATTCATGTTCTATATATTTAAACTTGATAAGAAACAGGGCTAGGTCAAACATCTTGTCGACGTATCACTAAACTGATGCTCAAATGTATTTCATTTAGGTAATCACCTCAAAGTTGACAGGTAAGTTGCGTTTAAGTGCAATTTCAAACACTTGGCTGATTTCTGATTTGTTGAGGTTCTCCTCCTCAGGCTCTCCATTCATCTGTTAGGAGCAGAAAGCATATTAATGAAAGAAAAGTCATTCAAGTCTAAATCCAATTTCTTCATAGCACTTTTTAATGCTGGGTTTCTGCTTCCTTTTATCACCTCTGGTAACTCTTGCAGTATTGGCTCTTTGTGTAAAACTTTCAGGGCCTTGGCAGCAGCCTCATGTTTGGCCAACTGCCGCGTGCGTCCCTTTCCAATAAACTGCTGGCCTCCGATGGAAAGCTCCATGTGGTATAGCATTGGCCCCACTGGAGGAAATGGGTAATAATACCTGCACACACAAAATTAAAATGCAACCATTTTTTGTATTATCTCAAAAAAATACCATCAGGAGAAGAATTTAAGATATTTCCTTATTTTCAAAAAAAGGACAACTCACTGTTGCATAGGGCGCTGGTAAGGTCCTGGAGCCCGGACGTTGTAATTGAAGTTTGGAGGTCTCATCCCAGGATACGGGTCAACAGGTTTATACATAGGCTTTTGACCAAGCTTCATACATAGTGCATTTAACTCCATGGTATGTGTCATGCCATCTGCTGAAAGGCAAACACAGATAAAACAACGAGTTCGAAAACTATTACTGCATGCAGCTAACAAACATTACAAAGAGTGCGACAGGGCCAGTGGGAGGAGCCCACCTGGGTTCTTGCCTGTGTTGCGGGGCGTCCTCATGGTAGGTTTGGGAAGTGTTGTCTCAGCGAGGGCAGATTCAGCAGCCGAGTGCTGGGCTTTCTTGATGCTGGTCCCCTCTGCCTCCCAGTGCTGATCTCCCAGTGTGAGCCTCACTGAGAAAATCTGGCAGATGCAGAGATACAATAGATTTGTGTTCATTAGCACCGCCATGTGACAACGAAGACAACAGCATCGTTTGTTTGTTAGAATGACTCTCAAAGTACCTTAGAGTGAGCTGGCCCTTGCTCACACAGCAGCTTATACTCAGGTTGAATCTTATTGAAACGGGCTAACTCATTCACCAAACACATGGGGGTCTTCTCTTTAGGGTTTGCCATGTTAGATACTGTGAGAAAACAAAACAAAAAAGGTTTAGAATACTCACAACTGAGCAAATGGACATGATCATAAACACAAAAACCGACTGCTGGGACACACAGGGCTTTATTAACATTTGAAAATTAAAATCATAAAAACCTAAAGATTTCCAAAGCACTGGTGGCGTACAGAGACTTTTATACAGTACAATACGGGTTTGAAATACAAAGTAGGAATCAAATACATGATTATAGTGGCTAAGCAAAGGGTACTTATACCTGTGTGTAATATATACCTTGCTGCTACATCTTCAGAACTGTTACAGGATGTGTATGTTGTGTAATTCTTCTTTATGTATGCTTCTTAGTTAACATTATGCTGTCTTTGGCTCTTTTCTGCTCTAACAAAAGTAAATGTCCCCTCTGTGGGACTAATAAAGGTATTCTGATTTTGAAAACTGTGACAAAAAAAAAAAATTATGACAACAAAAAACAATAATCTTGTAAAAACAGATATATTAAACAAACCTGTGTTGTTATTGTAGGGGGTGGCTGAGCCGGCAGGGAGAGCGGAGCTCCTCATTGGCTGGCCTGCGCTCTCCGAGGGCAGAGTGCCGGCAGCACAGTGGATGCTGTAGCCGAGCTGAGGCTGCCCCAGCTGCAGGGGGGCAGAGGCAGCAGGAATGGGACTTGTGGGACACTGAAACTGGAGCTGGGACATCCTTGTACGGGTAAAGTAGGACGAGGTCAGGATAAGAACTTTGAAGTGCAGCAAAGGTGAATGCCAGAGGTGAAAGGAACTGTTGATTGAGGAGGTGTGGATGTAAGCTCTGCCTGGAAAATGAGGATATGAGATAATTAGGTAAGATGTACCAATTATTAAGTTTGAAGAAAATAACACTTGCTTGTCACTTTCACATATACTGGAGTCCTTAACTCCTGATGGGCAAGCCAAAGAGTTCTCACTGGGCCGGCTGCCCATCACAGGACTGACAAACCATAACATTCACCTCTTTGAACAATTGTTTCTAGTTCACCGAACCTGGTGTGAGAGGGAACCCAAGCAGAGATGGGACAACATGCAGCGTCAGCACAGAAAGGCCCCGGCTGGTCAGCTTTGAAACCAGACCCTTCTGCTGTCAGGCAACACCTCTAACCACTGACCTTCACACATAGCTTTTGCAAGTTAAGTTCAACTACGCACTTTCAAATTATTGTGATCGTTAAACTGAAACAGGCCCATATCATTTAATACAATGATCAACATTTGAAAGGATTAGGAGAATGTTGGTCATGCAAGGTAAGAATTAAGAGACCATAATCCACTGACGTCATTTTCTGGACCGCTTGGCTATAGTCTGAGAGCCAATTATTACCCAGCTTATGATACATGCAGTATATAAGCCTTCCTTTGATACAGTAAGTTCCTTTACTGCACAATATAAAACATAGTTTATAGAACTCAAAGTTTAATTTGAGTTCCGTTTTCTGCACTAATGCAAATAAAATACAGAATATTTCTATCATTACTCTTTCTGCAAATATTGCACCTTTATAATTAATTTGTGGCAATTGTGAAATAATTCATTTTGAGTATGTGTTCACCCTGTGACTATTGCACCGACATTAATAATATAATAATACATGTCATTTATATAGCACACTTTAAAAACAATGTAATCTCAAGGTGCTTCACAATGATATGAGAAAATAAAACAAAATTAAAAAAAAGATATCAAAGGAGCATATTGAATAACATATGGTTATATTAATAAAAAAAGAAGAAGGTTAGAATACAAAATAATAAAAATGACATTAAGGTACAATTAATTTAAAAGCAGTATTTTTACAGGATAGGATGATAACTCTGCTGAATGCCTCTCACAAATGTGTTTCCACAACATTCATGAAGGTCTCTGAGAACTGTAAAGATTTAAGTGGTGTCCCAACACAGGTAGACACCCCGAATGCCAACATCAGAGGCAACGTATTGATCAGCCCAGAACCACCAAACAATGAAATGTGACGTGTGGACAGATGGAAAACGACGCTAAACCCACCACTGTCACTGGGTTGTATTAAGTCCTCATTAACATTGTTTGCTTTACATTAGCAGCCAATTAAAGATGCTACTGATCCACAAACTTTGTAATGATGTTGTTCCACAGTTGGGTGGTGTCCATCAGAGTGGGTGTTGTCAGGCCCTGGAGCCTTGGTTTAGCCTCATCTAACCAAAATGACCATGCACTAATTTTAACCAATGCAAATAAACTATATTATTAGTTTAAAGTCAACTTGAACATTTGCTAGATGTTTAAAGAAGATTAGCCGGTAAGCTAGCTAGCTGTTACAGTAGGGAGCTTTCACTGCCAACAGATATGCAAACAAGAGAAGGTCTCTCACAACAATGGGCTAGCATATTTCCTGATGATGTGTCCATAAGTATGAAAGTCTCCAAAAAGAAGACATTATTGTCAGTAGGACATTAACAAGCTTTTAATTTAACCAGGCCGATTATGCAAGTTTTCCCAGAGGACCACGTTAGCCAACTAGCTTACAGACTACAGTTGCAGGGATGGGCAAAATAGCACACTTCTTTAAAACATATCCTAAATGGCAGATGCAATGGTGCCCTCTGAAAGATGTGAACCCAACCCATTAGTAGCAGCACTTGACACTAGTTTATAAGATAGGTACAGATCAAATAAATCGCAGGGAGTATGGGAATAGCCGGCGAATATGCTATCTGGCTAGCTAGCTAAGCCCGAGCCTCGATAAGTCACTGCACAAAATAAACCTCACCTCGTCGCTCCTTGGTTCGGGTTTTAAATTACTCCATAGTATACGTTGATTTACTAACGTTTGCTTTTGTTAGTGGCAGGTTTCAAGAGTCAGTTTAAGTTGTTTTTGTATCAAAAAGCGGGCGGTGAGTAGGTGGACATTGGGAGAACAGGGCAAACACTAAAGAGAATGGCCCAATCTTCATTCTCTCCTCAGGAAGTGACGTTGACAGAGAGGAAGTACTTCCAAAATAAGGCAGGATTTACTGAACAGTGAGCACGATTGAGCAGTGCAGATGAATCAAGCTTTACATTTTAACATAAGTGCAAACTGATAAGCTCAAAACACAAAGTATCATTTGTTGGGGACATAAAAAGAAACATCAACACAGTATTTACAGTGTGTTCTGAATTTTATTTTGGTAGTATCAGAAAGACAAAAGAACACTGGTTTTGCAGCACAATTAATCCAGTAAGGTAAAAAAGGAAATGCACACACAAATAACTATCAAGCTCATTATATTAGCTAATAAATATAAAATTGATCATGATTCACTATAAAATATTGCTTCTAAGGTCTATGATCCTTCTTAAACTCTGTAGCCTGAGGGAAAGAGCAGTGAGTGAGCTGATTATAGTGGTCGGTCCTACAGGTTACAGGTTGTACGCCTGTATGTTCAGAGAGTCTCGCAACATCAAGTCACGCAGGCGCCACAGAGCATCCGCCATGGTGGTGTGGGCTCCTTTGCTCTTCAGCCAGTGAGCTGGCAGCCGGCTCTCCTGCTCTTTGGTCAGATGAGCATCACGTCTTTGAGCTGTGCCGGAAACACAGGGTTATTTGATGAAAGTACTTATTTAACAGGCACATTATTTTCACTCGTGAGTCGAATTATATCTCTCAATATTTTTAGCACACGAAAACAAGAGGCATGAACAAATCTAATCAGAACATATGGGGGGAATTGTAGTATTATATAAAGTTTCAGTATTATCAACATGTATCCACAAAAACACTTCTACGCACACACATCAAATGAAAAGACGACTTAAGAAACACCACCTCTCAGTGTTTGATCCCACTTGCTGACGGAGTTGGACTCTGCATTTAAGCCCTCGATGTACTTCAGGTAGGCCTCGGAGTGGAGCACCCTCTGGGTCTTTGGTGGTGGAGCCACAAACATGGGAGTGGTGGGCTGCAGGTGTGAGGGCTGGCCCAGCTGGCCCTGTCCGGGATACGGTGGAGGAGCCTGCGGTCCTGGGCTGAACATCCCGGGCTACATGTGACAATGCAAAGGTACTTTAAAGTATGTTCACAAAATGCTGAATATTGAATCCTAAAAATAACATGGCAATGACAATAAATGACACAATACAAATCTTACTCCATTTTCTTACAACCATCAATGAAAAGTGGCCGCATGGCCGAAACTCATATAAAAGTTGAAAAGTATAGAACTTTGTAGTATTTTCTGGACTTGGACTCACCTGTTGCATAAAGTTTCCTTGAGAAGGACTTCCTGCCATGCCATTCATACCAGCACCCATCATACCTGTTAAAAGGACAATAGTTAGTGTGTTTGCATTTAGTGACTCTGTAGCTTAGTAGACAGACAACCCTGTTTTACAGTGACAAGTGAAGATGTTAGTTTTTGAATATCTGTTTGATGTTAGTGGCTAGGCTACATACATACATTATATATGTAAATGTGTATGGATCCTGTATGCTTTTGGTGTGACATGTGATTGTTTGAGAGGAGAGAGCTCTGACTGCTCAGTGACAGATGGCCGCCGGTGCAGCCTGTGGACCAGGTAAACCCTCCAGCAGGAGAGACACGACTGGATGTGACTAGGACAGTGACCCTTACCCTGATGAGGCATGCCAGGGTACCCAGGCATACCTTGCTGGAGATGGTGGAGAGGCAGGAAGGGCCCCCCTGCATGATGAGGTGGCATTGTGGCCACACTCAACAAGCCCTCATGGGGGCCCTGCATGGGCATGTAATGTTGGCCGTAAGCTGTCATCATGCCTTAGGGAAGAGGGCAAGGAGAGGACAACAACATATCCATGCATAAGTGACATGCAACTGATTCTATAATAACATGCACTACTACTGCCAACAGTGGCCCCTTTCACACATGCACCTTTAGCCATAAAAGCTCTGGCAGTTTTAATTGTTGGTTTAGCGCTAGTTGGAATTTGACTAATGAGTAACAACAACTCTAGTGGGAACAGGAAACAACCATATCCCGGTGTAAAGCTTTCAAGTTGTTACAATGTTCTCGAACAATTTCATTTGATTGATAGAAATGAAAAATCTAAAATCAATCATTTAGGTGAAAATGTAAAGGGCTATTTCTGTGGTACTTTTCTTTGCAACTCTTTTTTAACCAACTGACAAAAAAGGAGACTTGAAACGTACGTTGTCTGTATAAGAGGCTAACAAAAACCACTGCCTCGTACAAATAACCAGAGCTGAAGATGGTTACGGTTCATTGTGTGAAAGGGGCAGACAATACGAATGGGTCCAAGAATGTTAGCAGGCCAAACAAGCATGAATGTTAAATGAAATAAAAAAGTATATATTTGAAATCATGCAGTCAATGTCATGCGTTTTCAGATATGAAGCTAATGATAAATAAAAAAGAACATAAAACAATGTGAAACGGCAGCAAAAGGAGGTTTTAGGGATAAATAGGCCTCAAATGGTTAGAAAATTATAGAGGATTACGGTTTTTAACGGTCCAGCCTTATTTCCCTGCTGTCTTGTTGTCAAACACTCGTGCTTTCTCTGAGAGGGGTTACCTGACACAGGTGTCATGGTCTGGTTTATCATTCCCATTGTGCTAGGCGAAGGCACCACCCCCATCAGTGCTCCTACAGGGGTACCTGCTCTAGGGGACGCTTGCTTCGGGTGGGGTCTCTCCCGCTCCTGTTGATCCACGATTTTGGCTGCACGTTCTGAAATAAAAACAAATCCTGTTTTAACTTCCGTTCACTTTAGAGAACTTTGTCACACACACACAAGTTGCTTCTTCTCACCTTCATAGTCCACTTTCTTGGTAGACTCGAGGTTCCTCCACTCGGTGCCCACGAGGCGACTCAGCTCCCCGAAGGAGAAGTCTGGGTGTCGAGCTTTGATGACCGCTCGCATTTCACTGCTGAACAAGATATACCCACTCATGTTGATCTTCCTTTTGGCCCCTTCCTTCTTGGATAAGCCCTTCACCTTGGGAGTAGTCTTCAGGGGGGAAAAAGACGTTGTTGACGTTAAAAAGCAGACAGGTTTATTTAAACTTTTAGGAGAATTTGGATATAAGATTCTCACTTCTTGGGTCAAGGTCTTTGAAGGTACCTGAGAGGGAGTGTAATTAATGGAGTCCATATCGCTGGTAATAGGGGTTTGCATCTGAGGCATCAAAGGCGTCCGTGGAGCGTCCAATTCGTCCTCCATGTCTTCGATATCATCGTCCTCTACATCTGCCAGTTTGACCTCAAGCTCGCTGATCTTCTTGTCCAATAAGGGAGATGCTTCCTTCTGTGGCACCATCAATTTCCTGCGTCAGATACCAAGCACAAAAGAAAACAAACACGGAAATCAGACTGGGCAGGAAACTTCTTTGAATAGAAACAATGCTCTGCTGACGGACCAACCTGAAGTAGAAGACCTCGTCCTCCACCACTTTGGAAGAGTAGGAGAAGCGTTTCAGACCCTTGAACTTTTTCATCTGCTTCTCTGTGTCGATGTAGCGGCTCTCGCACAGCAGCACGTCCTCCTCTGGAACCTCGGTAGGTCTGCAGGACAGGAAGTCCTTAAAGGAGGACACCATACATTTGCCTGGAGAGAAGAGAGGATACATAAACTTGTATGTTCATCGAATGTGAAAACTAGAGTCAGAAGTAATGAGAGGTCAATTTATAAAAAAAGCAAGGTGAATATAAAAAATGTTTTTTGTATGCGTGACATTAAACAGGGTGGCTTATGAAAAATAAATGCTGAATATACATGGCGTTAATGTGCAACTCCTTTGGCTAATGATTTTTGAATAAATAGAATTCCCAACATTTTGAGATGTATTAATTTCACGCCCGAAAACGATTAATCATTTCCGTCTTATTTTGTCATAGCAAGATATTGAAATATTGATCGAAGACATGTTTATAGCAATTAAGGCCTTATTATTAGACTCATGAATTCCCAAAGACTTTTTAGAACCCTGATGAAGGCTCACTGAGATGTGTGAACTGATGACGATAAAGCAGTACCTATGACACAGGTGATGGGCAAGGTCTCCTCCAGATGGCTCAGAAACACTTCTCTCTTGTAGAACATCTTTGTAGGTTCGTGCTCTGTTTCCTCAGGATGGATGAAGATGGGTCCGAAGAAGAAGGTAGATCCGCTCTTCGCCCACAGCTTCTCTATCCTGCGGCGCAGTAAAGAGAGACATGTAAACAGTAGCCTATAAGTCAATAATCATCATTTAGCGACCATGTCACATCAGTTTGAATCAGTGGTCAAAAAAAAAAAAGAAGTATTTTCACCAACCTGGCAACCCGGGGCTTTGACAGACCATGTGACTGGATGTAAACGCAGTCTCCCACTTTAAACCACATGTTGTTGTGGCGTTGCTGTTCATAGTGCTGACAGCCGGGCTCTGCTCCACTCATCTCCGTAATGACCTCTTCTCTGTCCTGAGCGAACAGACAAGGACACACAGAGGACTCAGGTGTTTATTCATATAGTGACAAACAAACTTTCATTCTGAGAACTAACAACTCCTCTGCTACCCCAGCCCCTGTCAGGACATGCCTGCTACCACGCTGTGAGCTAATGAATCCCCTGAAGTGGACTAGCCGACCGGGCTCTCACTAGGAGACGATGTCCCCTGCTGTTGGCGCCGTGCTAGGTGGCAGCCTGTTGCCGCAGCTCCCTGTGTCTTATTGATTTTTTTAAATTACATTTTGGAATGTTTATTTCTAGTCTTTACATTTGTAATGTACAATACGATGTCTTTTTAGGCTGATGCAATGCAAACATTTCCCATATTGGGATCAATAAAGTTCTTCTTATCTTACTGCAGATTTAATAGCAGACTAAAGGGCTTGTGTCCTGTTTGGGGATGCCTAAGGTCGCTCAATACTCAAGTCAAGTATTCCCTCAATTTCTGTACCTATAATTTGGATAACACAGGATTACAAGTAGTTGAGAGGAACATTAACCTTTTTAGAGCAAATGTTGCTGTTAAAGACAAGTGAAGTAATACATCTTATCTTAATGTCATAAAGGGATAATACAAATCAACAAAGTGTATATATATTAGGGCTGCTCGATTATGGCAAAAATCATAATCTCGATTATCTGGATCAATAATTGATATCACGATTATTAAAAACAATTATCCATTTACTTTGAAAACATCAATTAATTGGAGAAAAAAATGTTGAATAGTATGTTTTTGACAGTTGATCACCCTGAACTTTAAGTATAATTAAACGGAAAAACCAATACAAAAAAAAAAGTAATTCGAAAAAAAAGTAATAATAATAATAAAAAAAGAATCGTTTTATTTCGATTACGTTGTTTTCCTAATCGTTGCACGCCATAATCATAATGTCGATTAAAATACGATTAATTGAGCAGCCCTAGTATATATTGCCATGTCCTAACCCTAGAGAATGAAGTTTCCTCTCACCTTGTCAATAAAACCGCCACTGCCAGCATATGAAATGGTCAGTTTGTCCTGGTCAGGTTTGGCAAACATGGACGCAACGCGGACAACCGGCAGCGGCACCTCGCGAGGAACCAGCTTCAGGGTGCTGGGAGGCACGGCCCATATCTTGATCTTTTTGAACGACTTGTTCCTGGCAGCGTAACGGGACTCGCAGATGTACACGTCCTCGGCTCTAAAGCCCTCAGGTTGCATCTTGAAATAATCCTAAAGATGACAGAAACAGAGTTGTGGTTAGTTAAACAGATTTGTGTGTAAACCAAAAACGACTTTCCGTTTGTTATTCTGTAGAGGGTCTTACCTTCACAAACAGGACAACGCATTTGCCCAGAACCTTACTGATGGGCACTTTGTTGTAGTAGTCGCTCTTGAAGACTTCCTTCTCCAGAAACTTGCGAGCTGCCAGGTGAAAGGTTTCACTTGGCCTGTAGAACCAGCAGCCATGGAGCCACTTCCCACCTTTAGATACAAAGCATTAACAATGAATCAATACAAGACAGATTACATTTTTCAAAACATTTGAGACACATTAAAGGTCCCCTATTATACTGTTTTTCATCAATATATTACAGGTCTCAGATATATACAAAACATGTCTCTGAAGTCTTTGGCTCGAAATACCAAACAGATCATTGTAGTATCCCACAATCCCCTCTGTTTCAGCCCTGTTTCAAAAGTGCTGATTCTCTGTCTGTTACTTTAGATTAGATGAAAATAAGGAGCCACTCCCCACGCCCCTCTGAGAGATGATTGGTTTAAAAAAAAAAAAAAAACAGTGGTGCTCCAGGAGGAGATTCAGGGGATAAGGTGGGCGGGGGTTACATTGGTTGGTGATTGGCTAATGGTTACACAAGCCAAAAAATCGATCATCATAAAGTGGCCAAAATCTGATCAGCTCATTTTCAGACAGGTTTTTATATAAATGGATCAGGACAAAAAGCGAGCGAATCTTTTGTCCTGAAACTTTCAGAATCTCTTTACACAGAGGGGACACATGTTTATGTATAAAAGACATTAAAAAGTGGATGTTGCATACTAGGTGACCTTTAACTAAATATTGACATATCAGATTACTGCATGAAACCCCTACCTTCGGGTATGGGAAAGCCACTGTTTCAGGATACTGCGCAGCCCCATACCACGAGAATTCCACTTTGTGAACATCTGTATCATTAAACTCTGCATACGCCAAGAATTTTCCAGTTGATGACCACCATAATGCCCCGTTTGATGCAAAGACTTCCTCTGAAATAGATGGAGAAAAAGGACATGTGTAAGCTTCCTCCGTATAGAGACACATACAGTATGAAGGAAAGTGAAAGGAACTTACCCTCATATACCCAGTCAGGGACACCATTCAGGATCTCATTCTTTTTCCCATTGTTCGTGACTTGTACAACTTCAGCAGAGATGTCGGATTTGAAAAAAACATTATAGTCTGACACGTAGGCCTGCAAAATGTAGTTGATGATTACAAATAAAGTACACACCCATACACACAGCTTTACTTCATCAAATCCTTTCCCCTTTTTCCTCACATACTAGGGCAGTCATGTGGAAACAGCAGTCATTTTGTTCATTTCAACTGAATGTAAAGGACACAGAAAGCAACTTGAAGAAATAGTTTACTTACATATTTGTTTCCTTTTGGGGCGAAGGCAAAGAACTGCACAATAGTTGGATGATTGACAGGTGTAACAAATGTCCTGGAAAGATATGGAAACAATTAAGGGTGATACTAAATTAAACCACTGCCTACTGTATAAGTATTGTTCTGATATATTTGTCCATATTGTAATATGAAATACTGTATCTCTCAATAAAACAACCACTTACGAACTCTCCCTGTTATAGATGGAGTAAGACGCTGTGTATGAATGTCTCCATTTCTGTTGGAGTTCAAACAAAAAACTAGTTTTCAGATATTTACTATCAGGATCATTTTTTATGACGATTACATTTAAGGACCTCCTAAAAAGACAAGCTTGTGTAAAAACTCTGTTGAACAAACTGGGGAACATCGATTAGAAGTTTCTTACCTTTGTGAAATTGCTTTCAAAAGCGATGTATTTATAATCACCCGACAACATGTAATCTGTGGCATCCACTTGAGTCTATAATCAACACAATTTGGGAAAAAATGTATAAAATAGGAATGATTATTTTTGGATGAACAGGGTTAATTGTTACAAAATGTTTACATTTGAAAATCAAAGTAAATTACAAAGGTTGAATTGCTTAAATAAATGGACTCCGTATTTGTTTCAGCATTATGGAGAAAGATATTCCCATCTCTTGTTTTATGCAGATATTCCTTGTCTGCAGAAATAAAAGAAAAATAAATATGCTTGTGAGAGGTTTGTACACACATTTTTTAAATATTATTTTCCTTAATAACAACCTACTGTATGTTAAATATATGATTGACTGTTTATGATACCTGATATCCAATACAAATTGTAGGATTTCCACCTAATGGTGTCGTTGAAGTAATCGTCAAAGGAGAAGGGCTTTTTGGCTCCGTCAGATTCTGAAATGATGCACATGTGCTGCATGAGGGCTCACGCCAATAACAGTATCAGGAGTCCAGTTGTGAAGGAAGTGATCAGACTTTCAATATTTCAATGTAATTATTACAAATAAAAGCCCTGCCTTTAAAACATTACTCCAGCAAAAGTAAACAAGTATTAGCACCAAATACTCAAAGTAGCATTAAATGAAAATACTGAAGCTGAGTAGTATTTGTACATTGCAGATGTAGGAAGTAACATTGACTCAAGTACTATACAATTTTGAGATACTTGTACTTTACTTGAGTATTTCCATTTTTTTGCTACTTTGCAGTTCTACTCCACTACAATTCAGAGGTAAATCGTGTACTTTTACTCAACAAAATCTATTTAATACCTTTAGTTACTTTGCAGATTTGGATGAATGATGTGAAATATAATCAACACTTAAATCAGACTTTAGTTACACCTGGATTCAAATCACAAGCTATACCCTGCAGTATACAAAGTCATTAAAACTAGCTGCACCTTTACCAGCTTTGATGACACTTTTCATCACTAACTATGATCAAGACATAGGCTAATATATATTATTCTGAAATGGACAGATCTGTATAATAAGTAATTTTACTTTTGATACTTAAAGTATTTTGTTTATGTTAATACGTTTGCACTTGAGTAAGCTTTTGAATGCAGCTGAGTACTGCTCCCACCTCTGGTAAATTGAAGCCTACTGGAGTGTGCTTCTCAAGACTCCAACAATCTAAAATGTTGAACTTTGTTCAAAATGAAAACAACCGTCCATCCTTTGACACGAGGTGGCGCTATGACTTCCAACAGCAGTCTATTGCACTGTCAATCCTCATAAGAGATAGTTTATGAATGATATCCCGTCCCCCATTGACTTTTCATACACAAGTTTGTCAATGAAAGAAAACAAACAGAAAACAAAGAAATTAACTAATTTAGACCACGAAAACTCTCAAAACCAGAACAAATACTTGAAATGGACCAATCAAGTGCAGACACATTGTAATAGTTGATTTGGAAATTAGCGTTCACAGCTGTTTTTGGTTAGCTTCAAATAGGCTGCACAGACACGCAGATTGGAAGAAAAGCACAGACAGGCCTGAGCATTAACTTACTGCTGAAATAAACTGCTGGGATCGTTATTAACGTGATGACGACAGCAGCCCCCACCACAGCCCACAGCATCTTGTTGCAGCCCTGTGAAGGTGACAAAGTTTCACAAACTGCTGCTGGAAATCTCACAAAACACGCGGACGCTGCATGTTCTCCTGTTGTAGTCTATTAAGTGGGCAGCATACTGTCAATAATAAGTAGCCTAATGTCCATTTACTAATGTCATTTGTATTTCCTCACTATTTAAGCTGATAAATCCTTTACTGACCATGATGCAGAAGTAGTCGCCGCGAAGCTCTCAGTCTTTAATAATCCTTGAAAGTCGATGGTGTGAAGTTTAAAGTCTTGGAAAAGCAGCCTGGTCAACATACTCTCACAGCCAAACGCCCGAAACAATGGCTTTACACTAAATTTGGTAACATGAGAAAAGTGAGCTCCTTCCTACTCCTCACACTTCCCGCTGCATTCCTGAGAGGAGTCCGACAGCAAAGATGCCTCCCTGAAGTCTGCAGCCTGCACAACTTTCCAAGAGCGCACAACTTGCTGGTATTTAGGAAGTGGCTTTTTCATCAAGGGCGCAAGTCAGCAGGAGTCAGCTACAGCTACAGATTTCTTTCCACTTGGGAAAATAACTGTATAGTGTTTACAAGCTTTATAATTCAGCACATTTAATGAAAAAGTGAAAGTACAAGCCAGAGATTGGACACACCTTTATTGATTGATAATACATACAACTGAGAAGCATTCATCAGACAGTCAGACACACAGCAGGTGACTTTCTGTATGAGGAAACATTATTTAGAAATGGTTCTAAAAATAGCCGCTTTGACTGGCTCAACAGTTGGATTTCATGGAAAATCAGCAGCACCTGTTTATCTGCATTTATGTGACAGGTGGGCTCTGAGGGGCTATCACAGGCTCAGCGGTTGCAATCTCATGAGACCACAGGGGTTTGAGAGGACATTTATTTTTTCATTTTGCATCAGTGATGCCGTTAAAGGAACACATATTTTGTAATTGCTTGTTATTTCAGTAACAGTTATATCAACATAAAGCAAATAATACCCAAACACCACCAATGAAGAATGTATATTTTTGACAATCTTACATAATGTGAATAAGCCTTTTCCCCAAAAAATGATACAAATATTGTTAATGCTTTGCAGCAAATGCTTACATCCCCCACTGTTAGTTATCAGACACTTCAGGAAACATTGCAGTGTAAAGGGTACAGCATCTCATGCTTTCCAAGCTAAAGAGAAGATACAATATTCTTTTGTGAGAATTACCGAGTGTGCACAGTTGTGATTCAGTCAGTCATCTTCGTCTGAGCTTTCTCCCAACTGGTGACTCCCATATTTAATGTAGTCAAAGTCAGGAAACTTAATTTTGAGGTCACTCCAACTGGTGCATTTGGTCTTCTTCTTACCGTTGAACGTCACCACAAAGTTTTTCACGTGAAGGGAGGGGCAATCGATTCCTCGGTAGAGCATCATGGAACCCCATCTCTACAACAGAAATCAGGTTTTCTTACATGAAGGGGATGATATGGTAGAATGTAGCATGTATATTTTTAGATGGTTTTTACATTTGCACTAAATGCCATTTGTGCTCTCAGCTGAAATAGAATTTGAGAGGAAAATGGCGACCAGAGAACATGTGGCAGTCCTGGCCTTGAATGAAAAGATATGGAATCATCTGGTTTTAGTTTACATCTTATGGATTCTGACTAATTTCTCCCTCACTTTTTAAGTGCAGATGAATGGTCTCATTTCCCACTTACCACTTATTCAGTTTAAAAA